GGGTAATGTAACCTCCAGGTTTTGACAAGAGGTGAATCCCAATTCTCTTATTTTATCGTTCCTTAGTCCTCAATCCTTGCTTAACCCAGAAGTCATTCTGGTTTGCCATGATGGAGGAAGGACAGAAGAGCGAGGAGGCTGTCTGGAAGAGCTATAACTGTCAGGTTTGCCCAGCTACAGCTTCCTCTCTTCTTTTTCCTCACACTAGCCTAGCCCTTGCACTGATTACACTATTCAACACACCTGCCCCGCTTCCCTGATTACTCACCAGCTGCACCTCATTAGTCTCCTCCATACTTATACACTGTTCACCAGTCACTCCCCTGCCAGTTCTTTCTCTGTCTTCAGGCCAGTGGTTGTTATGTTGTTTTATCAAGTTTATGCTAAGATTGTCTTTGTTCTCTCTAGTCCTTGTTAGCACCCTAGTCGTTATCCTGCCCTGCCGTCTCTAGTGTCTTCTTCCTCTTCGGACCTCTCCTCTGGACCCCCCTGGATTTAATCTACACCACCAGCCACCGCCTCCCAGGTCGATGCACAGTCTCCCTTACCCAGTTTATCCCTGCTCTTCTGTCTACAGCCATCATCACCTCCACCTCGACCAGCCCAGGAGTGACCGCTGCGTCCGCAGCCCGGTACATCATCATCCACCATACCACTGACTGGTGTTCTGCTGCTGCTGATCGACACCCGGTCATCTACCTCATTACTCCTCCTGTATATATGTCACTACCTTCACTGTAAATAAACCTTACTGCTTGCACCGAAGCCAGTCACCTGGGTCCGCTTTTTTTCTGCTCACTCACTCTGTGTTCGAGCACACCCTAACAATAACTGAGGATACACGAATGCATCCTTTGCGGAAGTCTGTTACGGACTGACATGCTCCTTTATCGGAAATCAGTTTCTGATTGGATGCTTCACATGAAGAATTGGAGGAAAGGGTGTCTCATGTCAGTTAAAACATATTTCCTTGTTCCTCTCTTGTCACAGTTCCTCCTTGGATATTTTGCAAAGAGAGGGAAACATGGATGCAATGAGTGGAATTGGGATTTACCAAAGGATGAAGGCTAAGTGCAATAAAAAAAGACAATGGTTGCTTCCCATGTTTCTTATAAGCAACAGTGGGTACATCTCATGTCTCTTGTAAAATGGTTCCTGTGTCCTCAATCAACCCAGAAGTCTTTCAAGATGGTTGTGTATCCTCGCACATAGCTCCTCCAGTACCCTCATCGCTCCTCACTCCTCAGAGCTGATATAAGAGACTTAGAATGTCCTCGCACCTCAGTTGATCAGAGTGACATCCAGCCCAATCGAGAACTTAGGAACACCAATAAGTCTGACTCTGATGCTGTCCATCACAGGCCCAGAGCAATGGTAAAGTAGCATGATGCTAAATTGTTGCTTTAGTCTTGCAAGGATACAGGTACAGGCAAGTTTGGGTCTAGATTTTATAGACCCAATTTACAGAACACTGCCTCTGATGATAATAAAGATGCAGTAACTGTAGTGTCAGTGCATTTAGTTTACTTCATATCAGTCAATCATGGCACTAGGTTTAAGAAGATTCTAACACATTGTACAACCAGCGTGAAAACTGTAAAACAAAGTTCTGCAACTAACATTGTTGTTAGTGAAACTATCAGTCAAGCTTTGTTTAGGAATGTGGTTGATATGCAGCAAGTGTTGCAGACATGATCCCAGGTTAAATGAAGGGTCACGACTTCCTGCCAATACACCCTTGTTGGTGAAAAACTGTCTGTCTTTAAGTGTGTGCTGTTGCCATTTTTACTCCTCTGAATGCAGCACAGATTTATTTCAGTAATGACAATGCCTTTGTCTTTTTTCTCTGTCTGACTGAAAGTCACAGCATCAGCCACAGTCATAACACAAACAAACAGAGGAGCTCCAGTGTTGCAGGCTCCTTTAATGGGCTTTTGTAATTACAGTAAATATCTGCTTTGGTTGCTGCTGCAGTACTTAAACGAGCACTGTCCTCCCACCATGAGTGGTACTGTACTGATGCACTGTACTGTACTCTCTCAGCTCTCTCTCTCACAGTTATATAAGCAGAGCACAAGGGGAGAGAATTTGGGAGGGAGCGGAAGACGAGGGAAGGAGGGTGAGCAGGTCGAGGGAAAAAAATGAGGGGGAGATGTTCATGTTTCATCATGTTGTGCCCCAAATACCTGTAAAACAGAAACTTCACAAATGACAAAGAACCATGGGAGGCTGCCAAAAAGAGGGCCATAGTTATTTCAGCTGCAATAATCACTCATTAAATATACCTGCCATGTTGTGATCACCAGACTTAGACTGTAGCTTCACCAGGCTTCATTCTTTGCTCCTGACAGCCATTAGACAGTACCTATATATCACTTGAGTATTTTTCTCTCCCTTTTTTAGGAGTACAGACTTGTTGCCTCCCAACAGCTCATAAAGTGCTGCCAGGTGTGTATCCTGGCTAGAACTTCTGAGACAGCAACAAACTGACCTTCAAGTGGGAGACCACTGCAAGTTTAACAAGTTACACACCAACTGTGTGTGGGGAAGAATTTCTTCTGAGAAGACAATAAATAACTATATCTGTCAAATCATTAAAATATTCATTATTATCAAAAATGTGGACAGATTGACCATCATCAAACTTCAGTTTGCTCCCAGCTGATTCAATTCAAAGCAGAGTTTGTAGGTTTTGTACATGTAAGAGTGCCCAAAATGTTGAATTAATGCAATGCAGTGAGGAAACCACTGGGACTTTGTATCCTATATTTTCTACATGAAAGCAAAACGGACTAATCTTAATTCATTTAGAGCCTTGAGTACAGCCATTTATAGAACCAGTATCTGTAGTACAGCCTGCACATTTTCACTCAAACACTGGGACTACAAATTGCAGTCATCTGCACACTTTTAATCATAATGGGGGGAAATTGCAAACTCATCTGCAAATATAGTAAAACTTGTCTACTCCCGCAGATTGGTGGCTCAAACCTAGCTAGTTCATTTCTGTCAGCTGCCGAGTTTCCTGCAAACTCATTAAACACCCACACCTGAACAAAGTCTGAACACCGTAAATCATTCATACTGCCTCAAAAACACAGTGACTGATGCTGTAAAAGCAAAACTCACAATACTTAAAACTTTGTCTCCCAACCTAAAAAATAGATGCACTCTGTGTCACATTTGGAGGGTTTGAGTGGTGTGGAGCTGTGTTGAGGCCAAATATGGTTAAACACTTAGATACTTGTAGCAAAATTCAGATTTATTTACTGTAGATAACATGCTCAGTCGCTATTTCACCAAGTGTGTGGGCGTCTGATGCGTGTTCTGTATGTTTGCATGTGCAGCCACATGTGAATGTTTGACTTTGATCCTGTTCCTAGTGAGCAAACATATTCAGTCTGTTCTTATCGCTGTGACCCCTGTGACATTACCTAAAAGGCCACTGTTTTATTTGTTTAGTTCTTACACTGTGGAATATATTTCTAATCAGTTTCTCAGGCACAAATGTACTTTTTAGTAACTACAAATATTTAATTACACTTTTGCATTACTTGATTACCACCACACATTCAGATGACAGACGCCATCTGTGCTTGTTCAAACATATCGTCATGTGATTCCATTTGTTACTATTAATGGATTGTAAAGTGAAGGTTCCATGGCCCTTTGTAGTAGGTTTAGTTAGAAATAAAAGTTATTATAAATCATGTTTTGTTTGCTGTAGTTTTTCACTCTGACAATTGTCTTTCTGAAATCTTCTACTGAGTAATGTCTCTTGGAGAGACAGTCTCTATGGCCTTTTCTTACTGATTCTTTCATTTTATCCACTCTTTCTTTCTTTCTTTCTTCTTTCTCATTGCACAACATTTCCACCATGTCCTCCCTCTCATTATCTCTTAATCCTCTTCCACTTTATTTATTTTGTCCCATTTTATCTTTTTGTCTTCCCTCACTTCCCTTACTTCCTCCTGAAATTCATTTACTCTCCCCCAGCTCCACCTCCTCCCCCTGGCCCAGTGTACTATGACTGCAGGCAGGGTGCCCTGCATGTTAATATAATGCACCACACATCCGCTCACAAGTTAAAGAGTAACAACAGCAGGTTGTTAACACAAGATTGTAGGAGCCATGTCTGAGGAAGATGAATGTTTGGGATAGGCAATAAAGTGCTTTTTGTGTTGTTTGTGTTATTTTTCCATTAGTAAAATTTTAGAGCTTATGAACTGAATTGAATTTAGATTTTAATTTGAACTTGATTATGGAACAAAACAACACATTTAAAAACAATTAAAGATCAGATGGTGTTTTGATTGTTTTGGTGAAATTTATACAGATTTTATTTAAGTAGTGGACTAACAAAATTACTTGGGACATGACGTGTTGCGGCTTAAAGCTTTCAGCTGATCATATTCTTGAGACTGAGAGTTTTAAGTAAACTCTGTGGTCATGTCGCCACCTGTATGTTCAGTTGGTGTTTTATCCATCCATCCATTATCTTTCCTGACGAGGGTCAGAAGAGCTGGAGTTAATCCAAGCTGAGACTGGCGAGAGGTGGAGTACACCCTGGACAGTTCACCCACAAACACCCACGCTCATTCCTATGGACAATTTAGAGTCGCCAGTATTCGATTATGTTTAGAATGTGGTTGAATGTACTTTAAGTCTTTGACCATGCCATGCAGTATGACATGTATTTACATGTGGCCCACACTTTAGCCTGTTTATATGGGGTTGGGATGTTATCAGCAGTGTTCTTCTGCCACTAGTCAAAGTGTTTTGACAAAATGCTAAATTTGTGATTCTTCTCACAGTCCTGTCTGTGTTGACCTGTCTCCTGCCACTTTATATTCAGCCGCCAGGCGCCCCCAGACTTTTCTGCTATTTCTAGTCCCCTGACCTGCCACACCCACTCACACACACCTGTTCCCAGTTTCCTCATTACTTCTCTCGGTACTTATACCTGCCTGCTGCACTTGCTTCCTACCAGATCATGGACAAATTGCAGTGTGTCTCATTGAGCCATTAATGATGTTGCTGTTTGCTCCCTTAGCAGCTCCCTGTATTCTGATACATTACCTGTTCCCTGCCTCTCTGCCCATAATCAGGATCATCATCCTTTTAAGGTTACTTGATTGCACCTGTCTGCCCACTTGTATGTCTGCACTTGGATCCTCCTTGTGCTTCATACACCAGCCATGATAGAGGTGAGTCTGACATGGTCACAGCTTGCATTCTTTATGTAATATTAATCCAAAATAACAACAACCATCTAGTCTCTCCTGCTGGTTTGGACTTTATTTTAATTGTGCAACTCCAAATGTCCGGTTTTTAAATATATATATTTCATATCACATCATCAATTCACATCTATTCACTCATGTAGTTGCAAAATATCCCCTGTAATTTTTCAGCCAACAGATGATATGAGCCCATTAAATAAATAGATTAGACACACTCTGTACTCTGGCCTTTATGAATGTTGAATGAAACACTGTCATATGCTCCCTAGAGTCGGATTAGCAGACCACTGACTCCTTTAAATTGCTTCTCTCATCTCAGTTCTCCTCTTTCACTCAGGTTGCTCCTCCATGACAAACAGATAAGAAATCAATGGCAGATGTACATGTAGGCACCAGATTCTTATGCTTACAAATGCCAAATACTTATGGGTCTCTTTGTCATCTGTGCAACAGAAATGAAGGAAGCATTTGTATGCAATTCAAATATCAAGCCTGATGCTCTACCAGTGTTTCAAAGGAGTGCAGTTTTTAATTCTAAAAATTTAGCAACAGTCATGTAGTTACATCCTGTACTTGCCTCTTTATATAGTAGTTTTCAGCATTACTGGGGGAATCCTTTTTTTTTTTGTTGTGCAAGATTCAAACATTTTATAAACTCAACAGACTGACAGGAAGTGATACATTCATGTACTGGATGCAAAGTGAAAGACATCAGCCAAGGTCGACTCAAGCAGGACTTCATTAATTACAATACGAGTGTGTTGTAATTGTATGCTTCTTCTACACAGCGATAGAAAAGTCCATAATCAGCATTACATTAGAATGAAATATAAAACTTATAGCCTAAAAAAATGTCATGTAATTTTCTAACACAACTGGGCACAGTAGCAGGGATTAAAACACACTGTGCTAGTGTGTGAAACAGAAACAGGATTTGGGATTGATTCAAAATGGACTTGTGTTCAGTGGTGTGGCAAATTGACTGAACTTGTTTGTTTTGCTCATGGGAGTTGTTGACAATGAGAAAATATCCTTAATGATATTATTAGTCTTAATAATATCCGAAGATACTTATGTGGTACTCTTCTTTAATCTCACTCTAGATAAAAAATACATCATAGAAATATCTAAACCATAGATTAGTTTAGCTGACATTTAAAAAAACAAAAAAACAAATCAGTTTTCCAGGAAAAGCCAAAGTTGGATTATGACTTGATACCTTTTTAAGTGGTATTTTCAGCAAACATTATTTTGCAAGATGTTTTAATATGTTTTTCAAGTATGATTTTTCTTTCAAACAACTTTAACAGCCATTGTATTGTGATGTTTGACGCTGACGTTACAAACCAGTTGATCACTGATCTTGAAACCCATCACCCTCCTGACTGCATATTGTTACAGTCCCTACTCTTACATTCATCCTTTGCCCTGTGTGCTTTTGTTTACTTGTGTGTATGAGAAGCTTTTATAAAAGTTTATGGTTTTTGAAAGCAAAGCACTTACGATAGTCTTTGTTATCTTGCTTGCACTTCTCTCACATTCTTAGAAATGGCTGCATACTCCAGCTGTAGTGTGAAGTCTGTGAGGACACTCAGTCCCCTGGTTATATGAAGCAGAGAGATGAGGAAGAGGAGATAAAAATAAATGTTTTGGTCCGATCCATCTGATGATACCATTCTTCTTTATTGTTGCCATAGTAACAGGAAGGAAGTGAATTTGTTGCAGAGCTCAGCAGGACTGACTGACAGAAACTAGAAGTAGTGACTGCAGCTTGTATGTATGTGGTGTATTAAGGCTGCACAACTATCAAACAGGAGCAGACTTGGTAATCTGGGGACCTAAGGCAAACTAAGACATGGGACCTCCCCTCTGCTTTATTCTCAGCCATTATGTAGCTGAAAATGTATAAAGGGACTTGTTGGTGGCTGTGAATGAAGGCATTTGTTGTGGTTTTTCCATCATTCCTACACAAACTGTTCATTGGCTGTAGCACCAAGTGATGTTTCTGAAAAAGCCATGTTTTAACAACAAGAAGAATTCTTATTGATGGAAACACTATAAAATGTAAAATACAATTTGTATAGAAATGTTAGAACAAAAGTTTACCTTTCCCTCTGATTATAAGCAAATTAAAAATGAGCTCAAAGGTTAATTAAACTGTAGTGGTGGTGGAGTAGTTTGTATGTATCAAAACATCAACATGGCTCCTCTTAGCTGAGGGCACCAAGCAGAGCAGGTGCCTACCTATTCTAATGGTAAAGTCCGCTCTTGCTGTCAAAGCTACTGCAGTGGAAAGTCTCCCATTATCTTCCTCATTAGCGTAGACGCACGTTGTGGTAATAGTGGCGAGCTCTTATCATCGCGGTCTGACCCCATTAGATTATATGTCTGCTTGCACAATCATCCTCTGCAAATTCCAGCTGACCTGAAGTGCACTGTACTGAGCCCTATTCAGCTGAGCTGAGACTGTGCACACCAGACTGAGCCTTGATTATAGAAGTGGTCAGCAGGGTGGTAGAGTGATTCAGTCAGCCCCTTTATGGTTAAAGTTCACGCTGTTGAAGTGCCCCTGACAGAGAAAATGAATCTTGTTCTTTTCTTTCTCCCATGTGCTGGTGGTGGCGGTTCTGAAATCAGAGGTTGTACTTTGATATCACTGTGCACAAGGCAGAAGGTGAGTTTCTCCTTCAGGGATCAATAATATAGCATAAAATATCTTCTTACAGTACTTGCTAAGTAGAACTGACTATAAAATCACATCTTCTGGAGATTATTTTTAAAATTGAAACCAATGAAAATAAGGGCCAAACACCTTTTTACAAGGAAAAATTGCTTGTATGATTTAGGATGTGTGTTGTTAAATGTAGCTGCATCTACACATGTCACAAACATGCCTCTGCTTCAGATACCCCAACACTTCATTGTTTGGAGACCTGAGCACCAAATGAAAGTATATTTCAAAAATGCGTCTGAAGCCAAAAAGAGCTGGGAGCATCAACACTGTAACTGCCTGGCTGTGCCACAGAGAGAGAAATAGGATTTATAAGCTTGAGCATGTGACTGGTTGATGCAGGCTGGGAACTGGTTTATGTAAACATAGGAAGTTCGTCACAGTGACTCTGGTTCTAGATTTCCAGGTAGGGAAAAAAGCCTGGCCTGTCTCTGTTTAAAAAATGCAACTATCAGCACTGCTGAAGCTCACCAGTAAAGATGATGTATCTCAATTGTTTAACAGTAATTTGTGGTCACCAACCCAAAACTATACATTTTACATATCTGGCCTACAGAATAAACAAAAAAAACTAAGTATAACATGTACTGTATGTGAGCTTGGAAGATGTTTCTAGTTGGACTTTGAACTTTGTACAGGGCCAGGCTCGCTGTTTCCCCTTGCTTCCAGAACTTCCAGCCTTTATACTAGACTAGGTTTGGACTGACTCCCACTCTGTACTTGGGCTGCATTCATTCATTATTGGCAGAGTGGGAAGAACAGGAAAAACCATTATTCTTAGGATTGTTCAGGCATGGTGGTTAGCCCTGGTGCTAACCCTGTAGTCTGAGAAATTGCAGCAAATATACATGTAGTGTAAATGTGACCAGGTTCCACTTTCTGTTAACTTAAGAATGGCATGGATTGGCTGTGGATCAGGAAGCAGGGCATGTTGTTCTCTAAGCAAGAGACCGCTGGTTTGATTCCTGGCTTCGCCAGTCCCCATGTCAAAGCGTCCTTGTGTGCGACACTGAGCTTCAAGTTGTTTGGTAGAAAATCTGTGATCTGGTTGTACAGAAAATGTTTAGTGACATTTCCTTAACCAAAATGGAGTTTTGTTACCTAAATGTAACCACAGACACGAGTCTGGACATGATCCTCAGTTTCTGGAATAGCAGGCCAGTGTTCTCCTCAGTCAGGAACCTGGTGAGTCTGAAGTTCATAAATATAAGGGGCACTTTAGAAAGTACTGTATATGAGCAGTTGTGCACATACATGTATATAAAATGCATGCACATTTGCATATGAAACACCCTGTGCTCACATATATACTGTACCTGAGGAACATTTATATAATTATATATAAAACGCTCTCAGGGGTCATTTGTGCACATACATACTGCACATGTAAAATACTTCTAGATTACAGCCACTATAAAAAAAAGAGCTCTGACTTTAAATTTTGAAGCAAAGCTATGGTGAAACTGATAATGGTAGTAGGACTAGGTTTAATACATTACAGAAATAGTTTGCAGAATATGCTTCTACTTTCACCTGTTCGCAGTTCTCACTGTGTATTTACTCGCTCTGAATAGAATGCAGGGATTATAAATTTACACCATCACCAGAACTTAATTTTATTAATAAAGTGTTTTATTATTGAGGAGTACAAACAATTTGGATCCAACTGTGATGAGAACTCTCTGGTGGGTTCAAAACAATCATATATGTCCTTTCCACGTTGTAATCTAATTATGTGCTCACAGTGTGTTGTCATTTCATCTAAACATACTTAATTGTCTGTGTGGCTAATTTATCCCCTATCTCTTTTTTCAAATGCATACAGTTTCTTCCTTTTGTTTACAGAGTCTACTCTCTTTTCTGATCTTTCCTTCTCTCCTGGTGTCCCCCTCTTTTCTGGCCTCCCTCTGACTTTTTTTTTCTGTCTTGCCTCATTAGTCTCCATTATCTGCGGGGAGAGTTAAAGATGCAGCGCTGAGAATCAGGATGTCAACAAGTTATTTCCTGCAGAAGATACAGGACACTATGTGTGTGTGTTTGTTGGGGCTACTAATGAGCTACAAAACCCTTGACCATGTTGTGTGCAGGCTCTGTGTCATTGCTGTTTATTGGCGAACATGAATCTGGGGTTTATAGCACAGTAGCTAAGATGTCTGCATCTGTGTGTGTGTGATTGTACACACCTCATACACGTGCACACAGATTAATTTCTATCACCACACTAAGTAGAATTCCTTTAAGTAGGAGATGAATTCCTGCATTATAAGTAATAGCTTGGTGAATTACACCAGCTAAATATAGCCTGCTAGAGAAAATATTAATTACCACAGTGGCTTAAAATGCAGATAACAAAATGGCCCTCTGCCATCATGACAGAATTACATGAAGGAGATTAATCTAGAAACAGCCAGACACTGAAATACTGCGGTGTGAGCTAAAAGTGTTGTGGTGTGTGTGTGAATGGACGCAAATGTTTGTTTTGACCTCAGTTCACCTACGCTACAGTTAAGTTTCAAGTCATTTCAGCTGGAACATGCAGCATTTTCTATTTTTAAGTCGAGACTATATCCTAACCCAGTAGCTGCTATTCCTGGATAAAGAACCCTAAGGAGTCCCAAAATTCACACTCAAAGAAATAACCAATAAGAAATAGGAAAAATCCTATCCTAAATTGTTTGTACTTTTTTGTAAACTGTGTTTATCTGCCTGCTATCGTTGAAATAGTAATATAGTAACCCTACAGTTTAACCTCAGTTTTATTTGTGTGTTCAGACTTGTGTTTCAGACCAGTCTCACATGCAAATGTCCAATAGCTGTGTTAGTCCACAATGTAGTAATGTTACAATAACGACTGTAAAACTGTGACGACTTTTTTTTTTTTTTTTATTTAAGTCCAGTGTCCTTTTGTATGTTGTTCTTGGTGTTTTATGGCGGTTGTGGTGCATTGCCTTCACCACCTGGACTGGAGTGTAGCTTGTGATGCTACAGTAGCATGTTGCATTTGTTGAAGTCAAATATTTTTGAACTGCAGAAAGTTAAAACCACAAGAAAGGTTGGGGTGGATGACTGGGTTGAACAAACGCCTGATTTTCACACAACCAGAGATTGTCCTGTGTCTGATGTTGCACTTTTCATTAGAGAGCATTTTGTTCATCTGAGAGTATTTTAACTGAACCCAAGGTCTTTCCTTAACCTTAACCATGTAGTTTGTGCCTAAATGCAACCAGTTTCTTTAGCTTTCATTGGCAGAAAGACATGTCACAGTTTTCATTGCAGAAAATGTTGCAATGTCACAATTTTGGAGGTGTTATGTGAGACTAGTACATTTTGCTACTATACATTTTGCTGTGAGACTGAGAATAGTTCTAGAATGATCTACTGATAATGAACAACCTGCTTTTTCCCCATTTAACCACTAACTCAGTAACTGCATGTAGCTGACCATTTAAACTAATAGGTTATTAAAATGTACCTGTAAGTGAGCAGACCTGCTGCTCTTCCATTAACACCCACACGTTTAAATGATACAGTACATGTTGAATGGCTTTTTGAATATAGTCAAACCTAACATATGAATCTGAGTTTCTGTCTCAGAGGGTTGTGTAGTTGTTTCAGCCTTGCTCCAAGTCTCAAGTCAAATTTGCTATCTCAGTTTGTCAGATAAACCACATACACATCATGTGCTCTTTGACCTGACAGATGATCATTACTGGAAGGAGGAGGAGGAGAGAAAAGAACCGTTTTCTTATTTTGTTTGTTTTGGGGTATTGAGTGTCTTTCTTGCCATCTTGTAGGTGTATCATGTCGTATCTTATACTCTCATCTTGTATCACCCTTTTTCTCCCAATTTAAAATTAAATTAAAATGTACTGGCATAACCACAATTTAAAGCACAACATTGCCAAAGCAGGTTGCATAAGGTTTACAGCATAGTTTAAGTATAATATTTCAGATAATATACACTACACATTATCTACAGTACACCGTACAATATGTAATACAAAAATATACAATAAAAATTTTACAAAGCAATCTTGCCACACAGCCCAACTGTTCTGTAGCCTTTAATTAACTGATTCTTCTTATCAGTATGAAAAAATAAATATTTAAAAACCTATTTTTAAAAGTTTAAGAATGAATTTTGTCACGAACTACTGAATACTGAAATATACATACTGAGAAATATAATTCACTTATCAAATGTAATGGTGAGAACCATAGAACCAAATACAATATATCAAGTAAAACAGGAGGCATGTTTTGAAGGATTTTGGTACAATATTGTGTTAGCACTGACAATTTTGAAGCTTTTTTTGGCATGTTAAATTTATACTTGGTTTTGGTGTGAGAATTTCATTCTTCGTGACTGTGTTTTAATGTAGTAAACATTGGCTTTTATGTCCTGATAGAGGCTGCAGTGTAACTGCTCTGTCTCTAGCTCATGTTTCTGGCAGAGCTGGCAGAAGTGACTGTCTCTGTCTCTGACTGTGGGAAAGTTTTGGCGCACTGCAACAGATTCCAACATGTGATCGGAGGTGACACATGCCTAACATATCGGGCAACAACTTGGGTGTCCACATCCGCTTCCTGTCCTGTTGGACACACACATACTGACACCTAAACTCCAGTGTCCAGTCTGCTTTCCTGTCCTTGCACTCCACACTAGCGGCCCGGTTGCAGCGCTCACATCTGAAAATAGATTCTATGGCACTTAACATCCAACATGCTAACTACCCAGCTTCCTGTTAAATCAACGATGGACGTATAGGGTTACAGAAAGCGAGGAGGCACTATTTATACTATTGGACAAATAAAATAGAAAGGCTCATGTGACAGATTTTCATTTATCCAGATATTTTTTTTTACTTCACCCTGAGATATACTGTAAATATTGTTCCCAAATGTTCAATACTTGTAACAGTGGCATCTTGACTTGCCACAGTAGGCGTTGCAAATAACAACACCGGTGATTCAGTTCCATTCACGTCTGCCATGATTATTATTGTTGTTGTTTAGTTTTGGTTGTGTTTTTCTTGGTACCCCACCCCTTTATCCAAAAAACCTTTAGCTGTTAGCATTGGAGTCTTATTGAGTATAAGCACATTCAGCTTGGATTTCAATAGTGTGTGGTGGGCCTAAACAGTGTGACTGATGGGTCAAAAGGCTTAATCTGAACCAAGATTACTTAAGATTTTTTTTGCTGTGTAAAATAAATTTCTGGCTTTCATATGTTTCACTTTTTTGCGATTATTTTCTTCAAACAAAAGATATAAATTTGGACAAATTGCAAAAGTCGGTTCTCAGCTAGTTCATTCACGAGGAAAAATTAATAACTTTTGAGTCAGAGTGGTCAGAATGATTTTCAGTCTGGGGCTCAATGGAAAAGTGTCTCTTATCTGGTGAGTAGGTGTTCATCAGGCCTATTTCTGGTTGGAGTGCTGACAGACAAGTTTAAGGGTTTCCTCTGTTGTCACGCACACGTACATACACACAAGGTACATAAGCAAATGCCTATGCTAAGATTGGCCAGTGTGCACACATGCACACACACTACTGCCAGAGCATTGAAGTCCTCACAAATCAACACTAAACACAATCTGAGAGAGGGTGAAGCATGACAAACACACACACACAGAGCTGAAAATTTTGTCACCCTGTCACTACGGCAACAGGAGCGCAGCAATAACTAGTGTGGTGAAGTGTGAGCGTGTTTGTGTTAGTTTATATGCACATTTGTGTTCAGAAATGTGCCTGTGTCTAAGAGTCTGTGTGTGTGACGGTGATGTTGGTGGATCCACAGTGACTTCTGACCCTGTGAAAGGGATCTTCATCAAGGGGGTTTATTAGATACCCCAGCAGCTATTGTGGGAATCCTTTGATCCACCATGTAAAAAGATAAGAGTCTACGGCATCTGCTCTTTCTCACAGCTGACATTGTTGCTGTTCGTGCCCCAGGCAGGCTGGTCCCAAAGGTGAACAAGGCCGTAACCTTTTAAAAAGCACATTCATTGCACGAGTGGCTTCTGTTTTTTATCCGGCTGAAAAATGTGAACCTCAGACATAGGTGATACAACAATACTGGGATTTCTGATATATGAAAGTGAAGTGCGGAACACAGGTTGGTTGGGTTAATTTCATCACAGAGGGTAAACTAAATGTTAACATGGCAGGAAGCAGAAGTTGCCTGCAATATTATACATAATACTTTGTGCACTGATTCAGAACACTGCTGACCACAACATGGCCTCTTATACCTGGTAATCAGAAACCACAAACCTCTAGAGATGGAAATGTCAGTCAACCTGTCTAATACCAGAGACTGAACAGCACAGACATTCATGTTCCCACGAGGATGAATCCTACTGACTCTGGTGATCCTTTTGAAATTAATTTTTTTTTTTTTTTTACTACTGCTAATACTCTTCACACAACATCCTTCACTAAAGTGGGGACCACAGTAAACATCAGCATGTTAGCATTGTCAATGTGATTGAGTTGACATGCTGACTAGCATGGCTGTACAGTAGATTGAGTCTCTCTTCTATGGCTGTGGTGTAATCTTGCATGTAACTCATGTCACTTGGATCGTACTGACTCTCCCTTTGCTTCCATTAGATGGACTTCCTTGGATCATTTACAACTGGTCCAGAACGCAACTCCCAGGCTTTTAACAAGGTGCTTTTAAAGGTCTTGTGTTACACCCATCTTAATGTCCTTGTACTGGACACTCATCATATTCAGAGAACTCACTGGTGGGAAGCTGGTGAGGGATTATGTCTTTGCTCTTGCACTGGCGATCCCTAGAGTGTCAGGTGAACCAGCCAAGTCTGTTGTGCATGTTTGTTTTTATGTTTTTGCAGCTTCTCTGTTTATTAATGTTATGGACGTTGTAACAACTGCTCAAGGAAGGGCTATTATTAGCTAGTGTTAGCATAGGTAAAGTATTTTAGATCATATGATCCTTAGAATCCACCGTATTTTCATTGTTTCTCTCAGCCTGCCTCTAACAATAATGATATACAGCAGTTTCGGATGTGCCTGGATCATTAAAGTTAAAATGGGTGAGAGTACTAGGTTTCAAGGGGCTCGCCCTCATCTCCTGTCATTAATAATCCATAGGAGGAGGCCAATTTACCTCCAGACAGCAGGAAGACAGAATAACCTCACCTGAGTTTTCGTCCTTGTTCACACATTCTCCTTCTTTCTGTCTGTGCATGAGTCCATTTCACATATCTTTCTGTGTGTGTGTGTGTGTGTGTGTGTGGCCTTGTTTATATATACTTGGAGGAGCAGAACACTGGGGGCACACTGCTTTGTGGGGATCGGAGGCTGGGCTCCACAACCAATTGGTCAAATTTTACAAAAATGACTGGGTGAAAGGTTAGAGCAAGTGTCAGCTTTGATTAAGGTTAAGGTAAGAGTTGAGGTTCTGGTTTAGGTTAGGATAAGTCTTCTGGAAATAACATATAAGGGTTTGTGTGTGATTTGCTGTTTGCATCTTTGTGTGTATTTTACAAATGACCTCCAGATGAGAAACCTCATCTCATCTGGAGGTGACCTGGGTGAGGGAGAGGATGTCTCCTGTTTGCCATCTAATAGCTGTGCTTAATTTAGCATGTGGGTGGTGTTGTGTGGATTTCTTCTACCATATGCATTTTAAAATTTTGATTTCCTAAAACACAGGGTTATGTGAAAATATGTTTACATATCATTTTGAAAACATTCATATTTATTATATTGCATTTATCGGTAATTGAAAAGAATATTTTGTTGTACCTTGTGTTAAGTTTTGCTCTTGGTGATGCAAGGGTTCTGCTGCGTGGTAATAGTTGTAACACTAGGGACTGCAGTATTATAGCTATTGTTTTAAAAGTAAAAGTAGTTGTAATTGTGTGCTCTCAGCTCCAGTCATACATTAATAATTCCATCAATAATTTTCAGTGTCTTTGTTTTTAAAGATCTTGTTTTGTTCAACCAACAATCCAAAACCCAGACGTTTAAAATTTGTTATGATTTAAAAAAAGGCAACAAATTTAAGAAGCTGGCCCAGCAAAGTTGAATTTCTTCTTAATTGCCTCAGTAATAAATCATTTGCAAACAATTAATTTGGTGTAAAAATCTTTTCAGCAATAATCATTACTAGTACTTTTATTGCTACTACAGAGATAAAATAATTCACAGGTACAAAAATGAATGAAAACAAACAAAGGCACCAAAATCTTTTTCTAAAACAAAATTTATGCAACTGGATGGATCATTAATCATCATAAAAACAGTAATAGTCAAGCAGAGCTAGTAATGGGATGTAATGTATAGCCTCATGCTCTATTTCTTTTAGTTCAATACGATAACAGCAGCATTTGGAATCTGTTGTTGACAAACACGTTGCTTAGCTTGAAGGTGCCCTGGCCTGTAACATCAGACTGGACTGAACTGTGGAGGAGCAGATGACATTAATGATTCATGGCCAGGGTCTGGTTGTTGTCGGTTACTGGCAAAGTGCCTGGTGTCCCTCCAGACCGGCTAAATGATGATGTCATGCTTTAGAGTATCGATTAAACTCTCCCCTCTAACAAACCACTCTGTGTCTCTTCCCTTTCTCTATTGTTCTCTGTGTTTTACTCTTCACTTCTCCCTCCCTGTTCTCCCCCCTGCACTGACCTCATCGGGTCCATCATCAGAAACCAGATGCGGCCACTAAAACAATAAAGCTCCCTTCCAGAGAGTCATAAAACACATCATAATCAGATGGGCCACGCCAGGATCAATAATTTCCAGTTAGACCCGACAGCCTAGAAGAACACGGCTTTGGATGCTGCAGCAGGATGCAGAGGGAGGCTTAGAGGACTGATGGAGGCCGAGAGTTGGGTTACATCTAAAGTGCACCGGTGAATCAATAGTCTGTGAAGACCTTAGCGCACGGTCAGAGTTATGGGACGGTCTCTCGTGGGATCTGTAGCGCACAGGCCTGCTCTACGAAACGGTGCTGACAAAAACAACTGATTGGGTTTCACTTTCAAAAGGCATTACCCTGCTCATGAATTTGAAGTACAGTGTGAATTGTCAGATGATGATGGACCATGTTTTGGTTATAATTAGCAATGAAATAGGTGCTCAGATTTTTTTAATTAAAAATGATTATCCCTCAAATATTCTGTTACATGTGACAGTCATATAAGTGCAGTTGTTATAAGGGCATTCATTGCTTCCTTCTTCAGCCTACTATGAAGAGGTGAAGCGTGTTCCTGTGCTAGAGGGTGTGTGCTCCTCAGAGCAGACCTGATCATATGACTTTTCATAGATTATTCTTGATTTTTGGACCCAGTTGACCGTTCTGATTGATCACATTTGTATGTGCACATACATACAAATACAGAGAAAGTGAGAGATAAAGACCGCATCTCCTTGCTGAACTGCACTGCCGAGCACCATTCGTAGTTAATCGATGAAGAGGAGATCCTAGATTCTAATTATCTGTTGCAGTGGCTGCTGCAGTACTCTTCTTGTGTTTTCTCTCTATCCTGTGTCATTCCTCTAACAACTTTCTCCAGCATCCTTCCTTCTTCTGCTTCTCATATCTTCCACCCTCCATCCTTTGTCTCATATCGCCTCAGCTCCACTTTTCTGCCTCGATCCCCACTGTTGTCCTCACACCCTCTCCCTCCCTCTCGGGGGTTTGCTAACACCCCCTTTCTTCTGAACTCCACTTCACCCACACATACAGTATGTATCTATAGCACTGAGTAATCTACTGTACAAGAAGGGACCAAAGGGTGCATTCATTCTGCTGTACTTGAGACACACATATGCAGTTAAACACACTCGCACACTCTGTGCTGAGAGCTATTCATTCATTAATGCAGTCACATGCTGCACGTCTGAGTTTCACACATCACTGGTCTTTGGTTAGTGAAAGAGAGGATTGAGATGGACAGAGGCAGCGAGCAGGGCTGTGTGCATGTATGTCTGAATATACTCTTTCATTATATTGTATTTCCTGGTATATACACACAGTATGATTCTGTCTGCACATGCGCAGTGTGTGTGTGGCTAGAGTATGTGTTACTGGAGTGAGACAATGTGTGCATGAATGCAGCCGTAAATATATGTGCATTCTCCTTTGCATTTGTGTCTGTGCAGTAGCACCTCCACATGAGGTAGCGACAGTGCAAAGGAAGAATCATCACATCTCACAGTGCTCACTGTAACGTGCAGCAAGCTTCATATTGTTCCCATCCCATGTCCCCCACATTAACTTTAGCATTTCGAATACACTCAGAAAACATTTATGGTGCAGACAGTATCAGGACACACACAAGCTTGAAAAAGTTTTGCATATGTTCCTTCATATTTTTTTAAATTTGACCAGTGGACCCTTGTAAATATCTACCTGCTGATTCAGCTATACCATAACAACTTGCATGAAATTTATGTGAATGTAAACTTTAAAAATTTTATATTTACATGAAGACTCACGGTTTAGCATGTATGCTTATGTGACCTGCATGTGACAAACAATTTAGGGGGAGAGGGAGCTCGTGTTCACCAGCATTGTTAAAGATTTTAAAGGTGAGAAGAATATTTGGATTGGTAAGGATTGCTCTAAAGTTAATAAAGCAAAAATAAACAAGCAAAATCCTGCGCCCACTAGCTCCTGCAGGATTTCTGACCATGACAGCCCAACCTCTTACAGATGCATCATCCCACTCTCACCCCAGCTTCCATTGAGATCGTGAGCATTCCCACCCACACCTCTGTTTTCTACTGGAAATCTATCTACATCACCCTGCAAGAACAGAAGACACTTATGGATTCAACTTGAAGCTGTGGGACCTAAAATTTAATAAAAATGTCATAGCTGGGATTCCTGTTGGCTGATAGATTGTGCTGTTTCCTGTTGCAGCAGATACAAACCAGATGCTGGAATGTCCAATTTCTGAGAAGTAGTAATAGAGTAACTGTTAACAGATCATATCTGAATGAGGGATGGCGGTTTTATTGGTTAGTGATGCCTAAATGAGATTTTGTATGTGAGTATCTTTCTTTTTCAAACCTTCAAGAGAGATATTTGTGCTTAGTATTATATGATCATTTGTTTTTATCACACCTCTGGTCCTGTTTTCAAAATGTTGCCTACAATGCCATATTTCATGTGCAGTGAGGGGTTATTACCGCATTTTTTTAGATGCCTCCAAATTAAGTGTTTAAATAAACTAAATTCCCTGATTGTTTGCACACTGGGACTTCACTGAAATGCATACTAAAGGTGCAGTGACCCTGGAAAACACAGTTTCCATAAAAGAATATGCTGCTTGAGGATATAATCTCTCAAATTCGAACCAACATGAAAGTGGTATTTTTGAAATATTGCCATATGCTGCCGTTCTGCTACTTTTACAGCACATCACATACATCATATATACATTCCATACAGTATTTCATATTAATATGTGCCACATTATCCTACCGTAGCAGCCTTTAACTCATTTTCAAGTGTTTTTCAACTATTAAGAGTTTCCATCATGAGAACACTTTAAAAACCTGCAAGAAAACACAAGATCTGATCAGAAGAGTGGGTTTTTCCGGCTGACCTGAAACTCACCTCACCATAAAAATTCTCAGGCAGAGCTACAGCTCCTTTCTTCTTACTAGCATGTTTAATCAGCACCTTCATCTAGCAGCAAACTGCATATGTGTGATTAGCAAGATGAGAGACCTACTTTTTCCCCATCACCCAGACAGCAGCGGGGTTTCAGCTGTAAGCACGGCTCTCGCTCTACATCGACATGTGCGGGCCAACCGCCTAAGAGCTTCCGCTGTAATTACACACACCCTGACAGCAAATTAATTCCTGCTTAGGG